TTTTACATTTTAATCTTATTTAAAACATATGTGTGTCCTGACAACTTAACAGACATTATTGATATCATATAGCTGATGGCAAAATACTGTTTTAGATCGTTTGCTTTTCTTTCCCTAATTTTCCCCACAGCACATAATAATTACATCTACTAAATTACTAGATTTATTCATCACTATATTTTTATTAAAATTTTCATAAATGGTTGTGCTAGTGTAGAAAGAATAATTTCTTAATAAAATCTCAATGAACTAACTGGATAATCTTGCCACCCAGGGTTAGCAAGACCTCTAGAGATTTGCTGTGTGGAACTTCTGCACAAGTAGCTGCCGAGAAAAAGAATCTTTCAGAATATTGCAAGCTATATTGAGGGGAAGTTTCTTTTGAATCTCTCTTATGTCTATTGTCTTTCTTCAAGTTTTGTTCAGAAAAGGCATGAGTAAAAGAGTCAAAGACAATTGTAGACATATAGAATGAAGAGAGTGTTGGGAAGTAGATTTAATGACCATTGTGGGAAGGTGGCAGACACAGCTACCAAAAAACAAAGTTCAGGGCCGCTACTCAAGGACTGCCTTCCCAGCAATGGAATCAGACCCTCATGCTAAAGAACAGCAAATGCCACTCCTGGGTTTATTAATGCAAATCTTTAAAGCTGATAAAGTTCAAAAGCAGCTGGGTTTAATTCTTGCAGGCCAAATTATTTCAACTTTGACAATGTTTCAGGTGTTTTAATAATCTTGATGCTACAGTCCTAAAGAAAATAAACACCTAAACTAAATGGAGAATTCCTTTTGCAATTATTTTTACACATAACCAAGCAAAAACCAAACCCAATGGCCTGTAGTTGATTCTGACTCAGAGAGACCCAATAGAACAGGGAAGAACTGCCCCACAGACTTTCCCAGTCAACAGTCTGGACAAAACCCTTTCTTCCACAGAGCTGGATGGTAGGTTCTAAACGTACAGCTTTCAGTCACCAACCCAGTGTTTAACCAATGAGATAACTGCTTTTTTTTCCTCTTCGGGTACCGATTTTATCGTACTGAACCACTGACACACGGAATGACCAACAAGAAGTTGCAGTTCTAAGGTATGCAAGAGTGACTTCAGAATCCGTGGGATCTTCTGTGAGCATTCTCTGATGCTGGAAGAGTAACTTATAAGGTACCACTAGATGGAGACCTAAAGCATGATTTGGGTATAAGTAGAGCATGCTTCTTTTCCCTCTCATGAAAATACTGCAAAATAGTATACATGAGTATGTTTATTTATATTTGTTTCGGGATCATTCTAACAATTAAGATGTTTTCTTTAAATATTAAGTGTTACCTGAATCAACTCATTGTTTTTATAAATGAAAAAACCCAAACCTCATAGCCATCAAGTGGATTCTGACTTTTACCAACCCTATGAGGGTCCGGACTGCTAACTCTTTGCGGGTGTCAAAAGCTTCACCTTTCTCCCCTAGAATCAAGAAAGAGGCCCAAGCTTGGAGACTGCAGAGGGCTAAATCAAGTTAGGAACATAGTCTGCTCTCTTAAGAGTTCTATCTGTTATAGCAGATTAAATATGTGGTATCTCAATAACCTAGCATCGTACAGCAGAACTGCCTGTGCTATAAACATTTTCATTTCATTAATCTCTTCTAGCAGCCTTAGAATAAGGTAAAGAATTTTATAAAAAGCTTTGGCCAACAGTCTTTTTCCTCCTTATTAAAATGTTGAATTATGTAGTCAACGATTATTTTTAAATGTCTACGAGTGGAGCAGCAAAGCAATAATTAAACAAAAAGCCTGCACAGGTGGCAAGAAGCACTCTAGGATTGCAGCAAATGGGGTTCATCATTATCTTTGAAGAAAATGCATACTTAGGTCCATTGATGGGGTTTTCCACTGTTGTTAGTTAAATTGTCTTCAAAAGACCCCAGAACTCCTGTGATGTCTTACTATAATAGCTACCCACCGATCTTCGATCTTCGTGTGTTAAATAAATGCCAAAAGATCTATGCATTGCTCCAATGAGAGCATCCGTGACAGAAAATGATGCTAAAGAGAGCATGAAAAAAAAATGTATGTAAGTATATATTCATCTTCCGATCAGTTAATTCTTCCAGCTGTGCAGAACTTCTGGGGGAAATTGCTACCTGCCACTATGCACGTGGCAACAAAATAGTGCTCCTCTCTCTATGACTTCTTCAATTATTCCATTACCTTTCCTTTTCCTTTCTTTCTTTCTTTTTTTACTGAATAGTCTCTTTAGAATTGCTTGGAGAATATAGAAGTGACATTGTATTTACTGGACATTATAAGGAACGAAATACAGTTTTAAAACGTAGTTGTAAAAAAGAGATGTTTTAAAATATAAACTAATGTACTTAAGAGTCAAGAGTATATATTTCTGTGATGATGAAGCAATAGTAAATATGACAGAGGCATTTGCAATATGACTGCAGTCATGTTGACCCTCGGTTAAGAAGACTGACATATGAACTAGATTGAGGATGAACACAAATACCCTGAGAGTGAGTCTGTTGTTTGAACAGCTAAACCTACATGGGACACCAAGCAGTAAATCACTAGCCTAGGATGCTTATCGTTTGTACTTGTAAGCTAGGTTTCTAGAACAATTGCTTTTAGA